GGCAAAGAGAGCTACTCCTCATCCTTGATGCAGTTCTCGACCAAATCCCGCAGATTGGGGTTCTCCATGGCCGCAGCGATGCGCTCCTTGTCATTGATTTGCTTGTTAACTAGGGAAACGTAAAAAGTTTAATTAAAACATATAAGATGATAGTATCTAGCTTGTCTAACTTACTCTCTTCCTCGGTTTGATGGGCACCCTTTTTGATGTATATGTCTAGTTTTATGTTGTGCGGAAGTCCACGTTCCACTTTCACGCGTATACAGAGTCCAATCAGAGTGGCCAACGAGCAATGTGGCACTGTGGGGTTAAACTCGATGCGTACCTGAATAATTTAAAAGGTATATTTAATTCATTAAAAGTGATTCCTATACAACAGATTTATGACTATTTATAAGTCTTTATAAGTCTATACGACTTTAAGCAATGAGATTAATTTTAGGGGCAATTTGAAGCTAAGTCGTTATGCTTTCAAAATATGTAAACAGAGTTGTAATTCGCCAGAACAAATATGATAAAATAATAATTAATATATTATAAATAGTAATTATTAGATTATGGCTTAAGTTGAAGACATCGAATAACGTACAACTGAGACATTCGAGCGCGTGGGAGGCATCACAAAGATTCCATCCTCATAGACAACGTTCAGGTCCTCCAAAGTGCACGGTTTCTCGGGATCGCGAATGCCGCGCAACAGATCTGTGTAACGACATGGGGAATTACATAACTCTGTCAGAATAAAATTGCCCTTAAATATCGAACCATAGATGGTTTCCTGCAGCTCCGTCGAATTCTTGTAGCCCAGCTCATGGAGCAGTGCGTCCTCCCCGAAGGCAATAGCCTCATCATCCATCGACATCTGGCTTGTTTTGCGCACTAACTCGTCGGCGTTCTGGCTGCGCCCGCTGCTACTGATACTGGCGCTGCTGCTGCTGCTGCCCGTACCGCTTCCTCTTCCGCCCGTTCCGCCGGCACTCCCACTATCGCCGCCGCACGACGACGTCACTGTTGCGACCGAGCTGGCGCCGCCGTCGGATTCGGAGAGCTTGCGCTTTATGTAGGACAGCATGTTTGGCACCTGTGCGTTGTGTTATCTCGCCTGGTTTTATCTTGAGCGTTGTGTTTCTGCTTCCGTGGGTGGTTACAGCAGCATAATTCGGTCACCGTGTGCGTTGTTTTCTTGGTAATTGTTCACTTTTTCGGTGCAAGTTGTTGGAAATAAGCAATGGCATCAGCTGATTATTGTTTGTGTGCCGACCAGGGCTGCAGGGTAGCCACTGCTTTGCAGGTATCGATATATCGATAGTGATATCGATGGCTTATCTGCCGCAAACATTTGAAATTTGTCAGCCCTGAGCATCTTATCAGTTCTTGTCTGCGCTTTAGTCCAAATATTTGTTGTTTGTGCACTAATTTCGCCGGCTTAATTATTATAAAAACCATATCAACTTGCTGAAATACAATTGTTCATTATAGAAAGGGTACAAATATTTTGCAGAAAAATAAAGCGTGCACAGTGGGCACTGTGGCAAGATGTCCCCAAGTTGCAACTGCTTAACCCATCGTACTTAAGTCAAAAATTTCGATTAGCAGGCTGTGCATATGTCAAATTTGCGCAATTTTCCTAGGCCGTCGGGTGCATCAGCAAATAATTCATTACGTTTTAGTTAGTCGTACGAATTGTTTCTTATTTGTGAAAGCTCGTCGAACAGAAGCAAATTTCGCTTTAACCTTTTGAAAAATAAAGGAAAAAGTTCGTAAAAAGCGAAAGAGCCCATCGAAACCAGCACGAAGAAGGAGTTCAATAAAGGTGAGTGCAAAAGAAAAGTGCCAAAGTGTGGTGGAAAGAATATATATATATGTATGCACACATACACATGTGTGTGCTAAAGATGGCGCTTCTGGAAGAAGACCGTTAGTTCTTCCAGAAGCTCGGGTTTAATAGACTCCCGAAAATGCATTGCCCTTCACTTCGTAGCGAAAATCTAGTGAAAGCGGTTCGCGATTTGCAAAGGAAATCAATTCCTTGAAAATTTCTTAAGTGAGTCAGCTAATTTTAATTTTCGATTTTTCAAGATTGCTTTCCGCAGATCATATAAGAAAATGGTTGCCGATAATATCGATGCCGGAGTGGCCATTGCCGTCGCCGATCAATCCTCATCGCCTGTCGACCTTAAGGAAGAACTGCCGGCCGGCAATTACATCGTGGTGGGCGTGGACATAGACACCACTGGACGTCGTCTAATGGATGAGGTATGTAAATTGCGTGCCTCCGCCTGCCGTGCAACCCGTCGTTCGGTCCTAACCCCACTTCCGTTAAACCCCACAGATTGTCCAGCTGGCCGCCTATACACCCACCGACCACTTCGAGCAGTACATCATGCCATATATGAATCTGAATCCAGCTGCGCGTCAGCGCCATCAAGTTCGTGTTATTTCGATTGGCTTTTATCGTATGCTGAAGTCGATGCAGACTTACAAGGTGAGTCAAGTCCAATAAATAGTGACATGCGTAGTCGGAAAGCAGTACTAACGAAACCGCACACAATATCCTTACAGATCATCAAATCCAAGTCTGAGATCGCTGCCCTCAAGGACTTCCTCAACTGGCTTGAGCAACTGAAGGCCAAGGCGGGTCCCAGCTCGGACGGGATTGTGCTTATCTATCACGAAGAGCGCAAGTTCATTCCCTACATGATCCTGGAGTCGTTGAAGAAGTACAGCCTGCTGGAGCGCTTTACCAAGTCGGTGAAGGCCTTCGCAAACGGCATCAACCTGGCCAAGGCTTCTTTGGGCGATGCCAACATCAAGCACTACAGTCTGCGCAAGCTTTACAATATGTTGTCCAGGACCAAGGAGGACGACGCGGCTTGTTCTGCGTCCACATCTGGATCGGGATCCGGATCTAGTACAGTGTCTGATTCGGCATCGATATCCCCCAGGGACAGCACTGTGATTGATGGTAGCAACAAGCAATCTGGCAAGAACGGCGCTCAGGTCGAACGAGATCTGTTTGATGGCAATGCCAGTGTTCGTGCCAAATTAGCCTTCGATGTGGCCCTTCAGCTGAGCAACTCGGACCGCAAACTGGAACCGAAATGCTCAGAGTCGTTGGAGAATATGTTTAATGCCATACGGCCATTTGCCAAGTTGGTGGGCTCCGATGTCCAGGAGCTGGATACACAGAACGAGAATTTGGAGCGCCAAAACTCCTTCCGTCCGGTGTTCCTAAACTACTTTAAGACCACTCTGTACCATCGCGTGCGTGCCGTGAAGTTCCGCATTGTGCTGGCCGAGAATGGCTTCGATTTGAACACACTAAGTGCCATTTGGGAAGACAATGCCACAGAGGGCCTGGACATGGCCCTGCAGTCGATTGGCAGGCTGAAGAGCGAGGACAAGGCGGAGCTGCTCGAGCTTCTGGACAGCTATTTTGATCCCAAGAAGACCACCTTAAAGCCGGTTGTCAAGGCAAACAGCACCAGCAATCGTCGCCGCAATCGACGCAATGCCGGCCAGACAGTCAAGAACGCTATGCCATCCAGCTCCCGTTCGGCTAGTGCCGAGTTTGGAGCAGGAGGCGACAAGTCGCGTAGCGTTTCCTCGGTGCCAGACTCTACAACCAAGACTCCATCGCCAAACAAGTCTCGTACGCAGCGTAAGCGCAACTCGCGTCAAAGCTTAGGGGCGACCCCTAATGGGCTCAAGGTGGCGGCTGATATATCCTCCTCCAAGTCTGAGCTCAACAATACCGCTCCACCTGCCGTAACCCCGGTCGTGGCACAACCCTCACCAACACCGGTGGCCATCACGGCCTCCAACTAAAATCCAGCTCTGGTGGATCCGTAAAGTAAATACCTGGTAGAGAAGCCTCTGCTATTTGCTTTGTAGTTAAACGAGGGCCAAGCTCTCATGTAGATTGTTGATTAATTTTATGAATTGCATACACTTGCTTGTATTTTTAATGAATTTTTTACATACATATAATCAAAATGAAGAATTATAAATTTTCAACGCTTAAGCTAATCATTGGAATCGGCGCTTTTCTAAAAGCTTTAGGAATTTCGGGATTGAGTTTCCTAACTAACATTTTGTCTTTTCAGTATATCGAAAAATGGATGATCAAAACACAAGAAGACAAGGGCGAGGAATGAAGATATAAAATACAACATACGAACTTTTTTCCTTTTTGAAGATCTAGTGCAGACAAGCTTAAAATTCCAGTGGAAGCAAATTTCTAGTGAACACAACGCGGAATTTAGGAATTGAACACCACACGCACACAAAACTCACGAGCACGTTAGTGATCGATAGTGTGAGTGAACGTCACTGTGACGTAAACAGTGACTGTTGAATAGTGATGACACAGCTTCTATTGCCACTTTTGAAACGAGTGAATTGTTAATCGAGACGTTTGAAAACTACATTGTGCAGTATAAGGAGGATGCTGCAAGACCATATATCCACACATTGCAGCTGATATGCAAGAAATAATGATGGAGAAGAAGGATATGATGTACAATGAGGAACTGGCTGCTGCGTTTAGGCATAGTTTTCCATGCGAAGCGATGCACAAAGTCGCACCAGAATGGGCGATTGGAAAAATATGATCCAAAGAAACGCCTCGATGAAAATTTTCCATTGGACAGGCCTGTCAAACCACACTATAAATTTAACACAAGACAAATCCAGGCCGTGTCCAATGTAGAAAACTTTCACATTGAAGCTAAGAAAAATGCACGAATATACAAAATATAGCAATCTAAACAGTTAACCGAACGCACGCACGCACACGCACGCACAAAACATATTCAATACCTTACTCGCACATTCAATAATAAGGGGTGGTAGATGTAACTCACTATTTCAAGCTGTATTTCATATATGTTTCATATTTACAGTCAACAAACAAATGTAATATCCGCAAAAACGCGCGAATAAACGAACGATAGTAAATAATGGTCGGCCTATCGCGTAGTCACTGTTTTCCTTTTCGCAGGTGCACCGCTAAGTGTGACCATATTGCCGCCTGGCCTGGAAAGAGTGCGCTAGTGGATTGCTTTTATACCTGGTGATCAGTGATCACCGATCAGTGCAACATCTACTACTTCTCGGCCAGAATGGAGGTCGATCCCGCAGAAGAGGCGCCTCTTGACGAGGAGCACACGTCCATATACGACGGTTATCCGCCCGATTTTGGATACTTTAACATGGCCCACGGAATGCTAGTGGAGATATCCGAGGAGATCCGGGCCAAGTTCCCCCAAGAGCCGCGTCTGCGGTTCTCCCAGCTGAACAACCTTCACCTGGCGGCCCGCAGTGGCCAGATGTTGAGCTTCGTCGAGATCTTGAATTCTGTTAGCTGCAGGGCGGTGCAGACCCACCTGGTGAATACAGTGAGTACTCGATGGGATGGAACGGCTTTTTGCGTAATTGCCAGAGTTTACTACTGCGTCATTAATGAAAATTGCCGCCGCACGTATATGTATTATTCGGTTTATATGTAAAAACAAATCTGCTGCCGCATAGAGCGAATCTATACGCTCCATCGCTGGTTTTTTGCTTTCGGTATTTACTTGGTTTGTCATTGTTTATGAGAGAGAACAAGGGAGAGAGTGAGAGAAAGGTAGCCACAGGTAACACCCGCTAACACGGAGAACTTGATATTAGGTTCTTTCAACTACCAAGCCTTTAAGCTCGAGACTAACAAATTTGAACTTTCGAAACATTATTCGGGAATTCCCACAAAACTTCAATAAATAAACATTCTTGAATAGAACGCAAAAAAGGAATTAATCGATACACTTTTATTTTCATATACTCATGTGTAAATTTTTAAAATTCAAGAAATTTCTGGGTCTGTATTGTATGCGAGTGTCCACTGTTGTGTTTATAACTTTACTGCCTGCCAAAAAGACAAACAAATCACAAGCGAAATCAACAGTATATGGTGCAAGTTTTTCAATTAATGACCGAACAATACAGATCAAAATCCTATTTAAGGCACCGAAAGTCACTGTCGCAATTAATTGGATATCAGTGGATGACACTCGGTCCATCGTTACCCAATTACTCAGGAATGGCGTGGCTATCTGGACACGGAATTGGCCTACTGCCAATCCAAATGCTTTGCAGTTTCCTGAAATCGTCTGTTTGAAATGTGCGTTTATTAATTTGTTCATTAACAAAATATTTTCAACACCTTTGTGTTGCGTTGTAATCTAATCGAACTTTGTGGGAAAGCCATGGATTCCATAAATAGTTCAATGGAGTACACTTTTATTGCACATTGTTTTTGATAAGTATGTTAAGTACAAGAAAAGATAAGTAATTGAAAAGGAATTGATTAACCTTCACTTTTTCCAACTACTAGAGATTTAGTAGGTCAGTAGATAGGTTAGAAGATCTTTTGAAAAAGAATGGTGTAGAATACCTCAATTGTTTTCCTTTTGATGCTGGGATACTTCAACAATGTATGTTAAAGGTAGAAGGAAGCGTTTCCGACCTTATAAAGTATATACATATGTACATTCTTGATCACTTGATCCGTCCGTAGAAACGTTGAGATCTCAGAAACTATAAAAGCTAGAAGCGCCCTTTTTATAAATAGAGTGCCGATGGACCAAGTTTTTTTTTGTCCAGTGTAGCACTGCGGTTGACTTTGCTTCCACCCCCTCTTTTATAGCCCTATCCTCTCTCTCTCTCTCCCTCGAGCTGCAATGGATTGCAGGAATGCAGGCAAACAGCTGCGGGCGGTAAACAAACCCTCAAGGACCTCTCTCCTTGAACAGCTGTTTGGCCCTGCGCAGGATCTATCGGTGCCTCTCCCTGCGATTCAACCCCAAAAATGCGTGAATCGTATGCAAACTTAGGGTTGAGAATGGAATCGTGAGCCTGACGAAGTTTTATCGAGTTTTTCGGTGCTCGGAACTCCACTGCCCAGGCAGCTGTCAGTTAAAATTGACATTCCAGGCCATGCACGCGGAGCTGTATCGGTAATAGAGGGGTTTTATGCCCAAGATCTAGCTGGAATTGATTCCGAATCAAATGGCTTTTCACAAACTAATTGCAGCACTCGCAAGCGCTGGTATGAATCCGCTTGGCCAGGAGCAGGATTCTGGCGAGGAGCCAACGACACGCTGCCCGTGACGAACTACATCACGTATCCGGCGGTGAGTGTCCCGGGCCAGCAGTTTCTTGACCCACATCCAGATGTTGCTGTTTCCGTGTCGCAACGCAGTAGCCAAGTATATGGACTTTGGCCTGCATTGCGGATTTTCCCAAGTCGAATTTCGCCCATTTAAAGCACAAAGAACAATGAAAGTGTGCATGGTCTAGTCAGAGATCTTATTCCTCACGTTTTTCACTTGCGACGCACTATTTTCGTCCAACCTTGACTGTGAAACGGCTGCGCACGCACATCAAAAGTTTTCCTTGGCCCCTCCAATATTATATTTTCTATATTTTCCTCGCCAGAATTTCGATCAGCCGGATGGACAATCGCTAACCCCGCTGACCATGGCCGCGATGTCGGGCAATGTGAAATTCGTCAAGACCCTGCTGTCGCACTACGACGTGGACTTGGAGCGGGAGTGCAATGTCATCTTCGACGGAATGGTGGTCTACGGAGCCACCGCTCTGTGGGTGGCTGCCGGAATGGGGCATCTGCAGATAGTCAAAATGCTCGTCCAAGCGGGAGCGGCCATCAATCATAATACCAAGGCGCAGTCGTCGCCGCTGAGAGCGGCCTGTTATGAGGGTTAGCATCAAAAATCTCACAATACGGATGTGCTAAGAATAATGAATTTCTTCCGTATATTTCATACATTAATATGGAAGTGATACTAACTGGAATATTTCCACAGGTCGATTGGACATCGTTGAATTCCTAATTGATAATGGCGCTGACGTGAACGCCACGAATTTGTTTAACAACAACACGCTTATGATTGCCGCCTACAAGGGTCACCACTTGGTGGTAAAGACTCTGCTTCAGAATGGATCGAGGGCCAATGATCAGGCGCTGTGTGGTGCCACTGCCTTGCACTATGCGGCGGAAAGCGGTCATCTGGACGTGGTGGTAGCCCTGCTGGACCATGGAGCCACACTTAAGAAGAATGAGCTGGGAATCACGCCCGCCTTGCAGGCTGCCGAACGTCTCCATGAGGATGTCCTGGAAGCGTTCATCGAACGCCCAGGACTGATGAGCCTAGAGGAGCAGATTACAGCGTTGGAGCTTCTAGGAGCCACCTATGCGAATGACAAAACCAAGTACGACGTGAATAAGGCCTATTGCTATCTACTGAGAGCTATGCAGCTGCGGTACAGCAATCCACGCGGTGTTATCCGCAAGAAAGTGCTGCCCACAGTGCCCGCGTACGACAATTGGCTTGAGACTGAAAACCTGCCCGAATTGTATGCCATCAAACTTAATCACCACTCCATCCACATGGAGTCGTTGGCCATTAGGGAACGCATACTGGGCCGCAATAATCCGGAGTTGCCTCAGGCAATTATCTATCGAGGAGCTGTGATGGCGGATCAGGGCAGATTTTACCAGTGCCAGGTGCTTTGGAACTATGCCATTGATCTGCGAATGCGCAATAATGTAAGTTTGACCTTCATGAACTCCGGTCTTTGTTTATACGATTGATCTTTGTTTTCTTTTTTCTAGGTATCGGTAGATCGGGACCTCTTACGGTTCGCCCAGCTTTTCGCTCAGATTTTGCGTGCGGAGAACCACAATCTTACGTTGGATCACGTTCTGCCAGTTTTGGCCAAGTGCCAGCAGGAGATCGAGAACAATAAGTTTAAAATTAAGGAAGCCAAGCCCAACACTTGCCCCAGTCTATGGCAGGATCAAAACAATCAGAACTGCATTACTGCGCTCTATCTAATCAAAATCGTTACCCATTTGGCGCGACGCAAGAAGGATCAAAACATTGACGAGGAACACATCCAGCAGCTATTCCTGGTCGTACGCAAGTTCATACAGAACGACACTCGCCTGCAGGATGGACAGACATTGCTGCACATCGCAGTCAATGGAGTGATGCCCGTAGACGAGTTCTACACGAATGAACTGTGCAGGTAGGGTTTAGATTGACAAAGGGACTTCCTTGGAATGTTTGACTATACTACTCGTTGCCACCACAGATTTCCCTGCTATGCCACTGCTCTGGTTCTAGTACACTGCGGCGCCTCCGTGGTCGCAGTGGATTCGGCTCGAAACACCCCTCTACACATCCTAGTGACCAAGGTAAACACCTCTCAGGATCGCCAGGCGGAGATGGCACGCATTCTGCAACTGTTCGTTGAGGCAGGAGCCCATTTGGATGCAGTGAATGCGGCTGGGCAGACAGCGGCCACGGCCTGCAAGCTGCGTAAGTATAACAATTGGATCTCACTTGACCCCATTACTGAAAATTTGACTTGCAGCTATCTTGGCCAATCGACTGCACGCCAATCAGAATGCCCACACTAGCCTCAAGTGCCTGTCCGCACGCTCCATTGCCACCAACAGGCTAAACTTCAAGGGTCTGATACCCACCCAGCTGGAGGCCTTTATACAGATGCACAGCGTGCACAAGGTGCTGCCGTAGATAGTCAAAGGCATGAGCCGTAACTGAAGTAATTAGAACTGTGAATACAATAAGCCACGTTGGAACACATTTATATATCCATATGTACAAGCTTTGGTGTCTGTATGTACGATATATATCGAATTTAGCGACTTAACTTAGCAACAAGAATGCAAAGGTGAATGTTTTATTTTTTGTACACATTTTATTAAGTATATTTCACTCTTAATTTATTTACAATTACAATCTGTAACAACTGCACACGTGGACTGACTGTTTGTTTGTAATCATTAATCATAATCATAACTATTAATCATACTTATGTAAAATCATTTTGTACATTTTTTATGTAAAACTACTATTATTCGCAGTGCAAGAGGGCGCAGGCCACCTATGTTGAATCAATCCAATTGATTATGTTTTTTAGGTGCAAATGAAATAAAAAACCAAACAAATATGTAAATCACAGCTGACCAAGACAAAGTGCGCATATTTGCAATTATGCTATTATGATAATCGGGTTAACTAGGCTATATGTCAGCATCGCTGATCTTGTGGTTGTTGTGGCGCACCTGTGGATACACCTGCGGCTGGCGCATTACTTCCTCGTAGGACGGCGGAGGTGCTTTAAATACATAGCATATGGTTACTTACTAGCGGGAAAAGCGGAAAAGGATATGAGCTCACCATTGATCACGTAGTCCTCGTCGTGCATATAGGCAGGATTTATTACCGCATCCGTGGGATATGTCCTCTCGATCGTGCGCTCCTCCAACGTAGACCGTTGCGAGCGATGCGAGTACCGCTGCAGATTCTCCGTGTTTTGATGAAAATTGTTCATATAGTGATCCTCGCGTTCCACATCATCGTGCTGCAACTGGATAACGTGGACCGATGGTCGACGTTCTAACAGACAGACAATATATCAGTCATTTTACCTATTCGATAACGTAATGAATTGTAGTTTCAATTATATCGGCTAATCTGATGCCACTAATGATTTTCTGGCTACCAAATGCGTTTCCTACTCGTATATAGTATTAGCCGTCTATTAAATGAAGCACCCTACCCGTATCGGCGATGGCATCGGTGTAGTTTTCGCCAAACCGAAATGGAGCGGCCAAGGACTTTTTGCACTTGAGGAACAAGACGATCAGTATCCAGCCCAGGATGAGAACCAGGTAGACAAATCCTAGCATGCTCATGTGAAGGCCGTTAATCCGACCCAGTGGGTCTGCGAGGCAGGACTTTTTCTTGACTACTGCTCCTAGCGCTCCTCCACTGGGACTGTCGAAAATCGATAAATGCTGTCACGTTGGCGTCGTCGTCGAGTGGTCATTGTTGTCGCCCGACGGCTGGCGCGGAACAACTGACCCAACTAGCCAGCCAGCCTGAAAGTCGGAGCGACGCTGCCGAGGGACCGTCGCCATATCAGCGGATGGCCACAACAGAAACAGTGCGATGGAGAATGGAGGATGGAGGATGGGGGCATTCACAGTCCAGCTTTTTCCCTGTCAACTTTGATTTCTGGATAAGCATTAAAAATTCCATATACGAGTATGTCGATAAATTCAGCACTGATTGATAAGGAGCCATGCAGAGAACCCTGTATGCATGCGCCCGGTGGAGTTGTACTCCCCCAAGAACCATGGCCATGGGTGTGGGATGTGGGATGTGGCCAGCTATGAGCTCATTTGAATGGGAATTAACTAATTCCGCTGACGGCGGTTCTCTCCACCACGCATATGGAAGTTCGTGCCATACATGACGTCACGGTTGTGGGGTTAATAGCCCACTTAGCATTATTCGGCCTTTTGGCTGTAACCTGCCCAAAAATAGAAGCCTCAAAAATTGCCCAACTGACCTTAGAAACCCCAATCCAATTCCATTGCAATTGGCTTTCATTTCTCATTTCACGTTTATTTACTTGATGTTATGTTTTTCTTTCCTACTGTGTGCTTTGAATTTGTTAATAAATTATTAAAGCCCTAATTGTAAAGGGCCATGACTTACGAGTTTCATTGCTAACATAAAGGAGGCGTAACACTAAGTTAACACTAGTTCTGGATGAGACGTAAAGGGTCGTCGATTGCGGAGTTAGTTACAGTAGAGGTCAAAAGTAGACAACCGATTCACAATAAGAATCAATATATTTATTAAAATTCTAGATTTACCTAATTTAACATCTTTTAAATATATTTCAATACGGATTTCACTTTACTTTAACTATTCATTTGGTCGCAACTGTAACTATTCCATAGATATATGGGAATTTAGGGATGCGTATCGATTAGCTTATGGCACAAGTGGGTTAGTGTGGGCCAACTATTGGGATTAGTGCAGTGTAGCTTAGGTCTACGTAAATATAACATATATCGTTTACAACTACTCAAGAGTCGGTACAGTCGGTACTGTACTATCACATGGTTTATTGAGTGGGCAGGAGCAACATCCTGCTGCATCTGGATTCGTGCCGCCTCACAGGCTCGTCGTGGCCTGGAGCTTGAGGTAGCGCGTCCCATTTTCCGCATCCGCCAGGCGGGCTATGTGATCGGAGGCGGCGTAACAGGTGGTGGCCGTCGGAGTGCCCGGTCTGCTGTTATTGTTATTGTTGTGCATGCTGCTGCTGTTGCTGTCGATGCTATCGCTGTTCCTGCCATTGCCTCCATTGCTTCCGCCATTCTGACGGATTCGCGTGGCTCCCCAGATCAGGACCAGCACGGAGGTGACCAGCACGCCAAGACCCAATCCGGGCAAGAAGCTCTTATTCAGGGAATCAATGACTGTGTAGCTGTGCAGCAAAGTCGATTGCTGCGTTTGTTGCGGTTGACTTCCTAACACCGAATTGAAGCGGCGTTGATTCACCTGGTAATCCTCGCCAGCTTCGTGCACCACCTCGGGCTTAAGCTCATTGGCGGTGTAGTAGGGACGTCGCTGGTACTGTCGGGATACGGGAACGGCGCCTGGACTGCTCCTCTCGAGCTGGGTGATATTGGAGCAGCCGATGTTTAGTTCCGCCTCTGGCTTGTTCTCCTGGATCATGACCAAACAAAAGCGATAGCTACACGGAACATGCACAGCATTAGTCATTTCATATGGTTATTGGTCGGCGAACAACTCACCTCTCGCCTATTTCCAGGGAGGAACTGTCCGGCACTATGACGCTGACTGTGTTCTGGCCATTGACCACTTTACTCTCGCAATGGATCTGCAAGGAATCATATTATGGAATCAGAAAAGATTCTTGGTGTTTGGCTTATCCACACTAATTACCGGTGAGTTGTCTATTAGAATTTCGTTAATGTGTTCCTCCTTATAAACAAAGATTGCATCGCACATATAGTCCTTTTTGCTCAGATTGAGTAGCCATGTAAGGATCAGTCCATAGTCCGTCGAGAAGTGCAGCTCATGTAGAATAATCTGTGGTGATTTCGTTAGTCAATGAAGTAAAGAGTACAAAATAATAATACTGACCTCTTCAGACAAATCCTTGATAGGCGATGTCTGATTCGGCTTGGCCAACGTTTCCAGGTGCTGCATGATGTTGGCGTTATCCTTCTCCACGTTGTCCATGTCGCAGCTGAGCGTCTCCACGGGCACCTGGAGAAGAGGAGCTCCCTCCAGTCTCGGCGGCGTCACACAGGAGGCACTCAGACTGGAATGGAGCTGCGACTCCTGCAGCCACTCGGCGAAGGGACGAATGCTGCAGTCACAGGACAGGGGATTCTCCTGCATCAGTAGGCTCTCCAGTTCCCTGGCTCCGTCCATGGCGTTTCTCGCCACAATCGATATGTCATTGCCCGCCAATCGCAACTCCCTGAGAGATGGTAGCGGTGCTATCAAATCCGAGGTCAGTGCTCGCAGGAAGTTATGGGTAAGGTCCAGTACGGTCAGACGGGACAGATGTTGCAGCGAGGCACTGGAGATGGCCACGATGCCGTTGTAGCTGAGATCCAAGCTGTCCAGCGCACCCAGCCCGAAGAAGGCGTGATCCTGCAGCACATCGATCTGGTTGTGACGCAGCGAGAGGCTCACCAGTCTCGAGAAATTGGCCAAAGCCTTGTTCTGGATGCTCTTGATCAGATTCCGATTAAGATTCAAGGTCTCGAGGTTCCTCATTCCGGGTAGCGTTTGCTCACTCAGTGGTCCATTCAGGTTATTGGCCTGCAAATCCAGTTGTCGCAGACTGAGGCACTGACTCAGGGACCTCAAGCTTTGGGCATAGTCACCCAATCGATTCCCGCCCAGCTTCAGCACCTCCAGCTTTCGAAGATTTACAAACGTGCGTTGGGATATGCTTGAGATTTGGTTGTTGCTCAGCTCCAGATACACCAAGCTGGTCAATCCCACAAAGTCCGCCGTTCCCAGGGCCTTGATCTTGTTATTGGCCAGATCCAAACGCTCCAAGGCGCTCAGCGTGGACAAGGCGTTCCAGGGCACGCTCATCAAAGCATTTCCGGGCAGACCGAGTGCCTGCAGAGGTCCTCGGATGCCCAGGAAGGCGGACTTGTGCACCCGCTTGATCTCTCCGGACGAGATTACTAGTCCGTGAAGCGACACATTGTCGAAGATTTTCGCGTCGCTCAGGAAGGTCACGTTGCGCAGGGAACAGTCCAGCAATGATATGGAGTAGGGAGAGGTACGTAGCCGGTCCGCCAGCAGCTGTAAAAGGTGAAATGGTGTTAGAAACACGGTTAAAAAAGGGGGGTGTCCTATCAGTGCCCTATAAATACTAGTATATTACTTATATTATAAGAATAGTTATTTATTAAGCGATATTTAGAAAATAAGCCTAACTAGACTCCGTGGCGCAACGGTAGCGCGTCTGACTCCAGATCAGAAGGTTGCGTGTTCAAATCACGTCGGGGTCAAAGGTGATATATTTCACATGCATTCTGAAAATATTTAAAGCTTGCATCTATAATGAAATGTATTGAAAATATCATATTTTGCACAGACTTTCCGCCTTTTCATTCATATTCCTATGCTATGTGTTTCTACAAAAAATGATCAACTTTTTGACCCCGACGTGATTTGAACACGCAACCTTCTGATCTGGAGTCAGACGCGCTACCGTTGCGCCACGGAGTCAATTGAAGATTCCACTGCCTATACGTGATTTTAAATTAGTTACATCCAAGTATAGTTCAAAAATATTATTAGAAATACTGATAAGATAGGTGCATTCGAATCTGAAATCACAGGTAAATATACAACTAAGAATTTCAAGATAGCACGCTAACTAAATCCAATACGAACAATAGAAGAAATCCTGCTGTACTATCGATACAATTTACAATAAGAACAGAAGGGTTTCATGGGCATTACGGCGATAATCATATACAATTTAACTGTAGAAATAGAAAATTGCAAAGAATCTCTTACCATCAAGCCGTGCAGATCAATGTTGCACCGAAGTGTGTGGGGCAGGTCGCATCCGCACTCGAGTTCCGCGTTCCGGGTGCCCGTGATGTTGGGGCACTTCCACTCCATGAGGGCATCGTCCACGGGCAGCGGCAGCGAGGACACCTGCTCCGCCTTGCGCTTCCTCGGCGAGCTCTTGTTCACATACTTTCCGGATGTGGACTTGGACTTGCCTCTCGAGGAAACAAGGGCGGGAACCGCCGCCGCTGAAACTACATAGGCGGTGGGCGTGGTGGGCGAGGAAAGTGGAGAGGGGGTGGTGCTGGTGCTGGTGGTGGTGGTAGTGGTGGTGGTGGTGCTGCTGCTGGAACTGGTGGTGCTGTCCTCTAGCAGATCCTTGAGGTCATTGGCCGCTGCCAAAGTGCCCAGCAGCAAGAGCATGAGAATGGGACTGTAAGTGGAAAAATGTTCATGGAAATTAGTCGGACGAGCATTGAAAAACGAAAACACTTGGATGCTTGGCTGCCTGGCTGCTGGGCGGGATGCACTTGCTCTCCTCGCACATGAACAGATCATGCGTTTTTAGGTCAAGCCGCAGTTGTCACTGACACTCTGACACACAAACACCCACACAGTGCATCTGTGTCCAGTATCCAGTGGATGCGTTTCGGGCTAAAGATTCCCATTGTTATCTCTGCAAGACAATTTGCCAATTTACAGCTTAACGCAATCAAAGCGATTTATTGAATGCACTGAGAGCTAAACTAGGCCGCTTTTTACTAATCTTACCTGCTTATAAAATATAAACTCATATATTTTAAGCACCCAAACAGGAAGAAAATTTCGAGACAGCCAAGCAAAATTTGTACAAACATGGTTTATATTGAAACTGGCGAGTATCCCTATTGATGAGTAACCCGCACAATTTTTCCATGTCACCAGACCGCTCCCGAATGTCGCCTCCCACTTCCAGAAGAAAACAAAAACTGCGTGCGAGGCTTTAAAAACCCAGATTTCGGGCGCTACGCATCCAGTGCCGTAGAAATAATTCCGCAGCAAAGTGCCCAGTGCTCGCAGTTGCCGCGGAGGGAAGCGCTCTACAATCCCACGAACCCAAAAGGATTAGCAGTGGTCCCCATCAGTCCAAGCCCCTCATAACCCAGCATGGCCAGTCACTTGCCCAAAGGTGGTGCGCTCGTCCTGGTGCTCAATCTTCTCCTGCTTTCGCAGTGGGAGACCGAGTCCAAGCTGCTGACACGTTGTCAATTGGCCAAGGAGCTGTTGCGTCATGACTTTCCCCGCAGTTATCTATCAAACTGTAAGTAAATGTATCTCAATTAAGTGAATAAGGAGGCATATGAATGACCATTTGAAATTCCCCAAAGGGGTTTGCCTGGTGGAAGCGGAGAGTGGACGCAGTACATCCAAATCCATGCAGCTGCCCAACCAGAGCGTCAGCTATGGACTATTCCAGGTGGGTCAACTCAAGTTCCTTATCGAATATACATGTTTTAGAGCGCTCGGCGCTGATCCGCAATTTCGCAGATTAACAGCAAAAACTGGTGTCGCAAAGGTCGTCGTGGAGGAATCTGCAACATCAAATGCGAAGGTGAGTCCGCATTCCCCAAAACACCCACATATATAATGTGCGGATAACTATGGTCACCCCTCCCGTCCGCTGCAGAGTTCCTCAATGATGAGATCTCGGATGACTCACGATGTGCCATGCAGATCTTCAACCGCCATGGATTTCAGGCCTGGCCCGGATGGATGAGCAAATGTCGTGGGCGCACGCTGCCCGATGTCTCGCGATGCTAGGACTGCCTTCGACTCGCTCTTAGCCTTAACTAACTCTACTCATAGCTGCTAAAGTTTCACATAAAGCCTAAGTCAATCCCTTTTAATAAGGTGTATTTATTTTCCGAATCGCGTGATTAAAGCATTTCCAGGAATTCCCGCTACCAGCGGCAGCACGATGCAATCGCAAAATTGTGTTTTTCCAATGTTTTAATCAATCACCCTTGGCAAAATTCGAATATTAATAGAATATTCATATTTATATGTGTATTAAGGGAATAAGGAAATTTTATACTATTTTTTTTACTGATAAAAGACAAATCAACTGTGGATGTCCCTTTTACCTTCAAAAGTTCTTCACAATACTTGTTAATAAGTTTCGTTTGCCTTTTAATCTCATAAAATAAACATAGTAGCTAGCTAGATCACGTTCATAAAACGCTGTAGTATCTTTTAAAGGGAAATTACGCATATGTATGGATCATCGAACTCAGGCTTCTTCGATTGATGAACTCTTTCATTCATAATTATTGCGATGGGTTTTTGACATACGGACCCACCCAAAACCCTCTCCGATGCTTTCGAAATCACTTGATTTGCCAGAGAGTTCAGGAGGCATATCAACCGTGACAAGCGAGCACCTTATCAGCAGTATCAGACTGCCGCGCAAATTCATTTCGTTGGTTTGGTGCTCTGCGATCGGCGATTTTGGGAGAGAACTACCGCGACTCGAAAGCGAACTGAGCCGCAATTGTATCTGAGAAATACTTGGGCGTTCAGTACTTATTCTCGGGTCAGCAGCGCCACACCGGCGGGCTAGCTTCTCATCGGATCCGATCGGGTGTGCAAATCATACAGACACATGCGTTTGAAAGCACGCCATCCCAAAACGAAACGCGGTAAGACGACGCAGATACAGATACAGATACAGATACTCGCGCTCCCCTCACAAACTCGTTTCCTGCTGCCGAGAACTCTGTTGTTCTGATTTAATTAGGTAAACAAAGTAAACAAACTGTTTGCTGAAGTAAAAGTGTTTTGCCAGAGGAAGTAACTCAAACTCATTATTACATTTGCATGCATGAAAATCTCAATAAAAAGTGAAACGTGGTTACAGTGGGTTTTCTATATGAAGGAGGACTTAAAACTTCGTTGAATTTATTTCGAGTTTTTTCGGGTTCTCTGTAACCTTGACAAGCTTAACTGTTGTGAATAAATCATACTTTTAATTATTTACATACAAATGTCATAATTTCCCTTACTTTAATGACTTGACTTACACGTAATCAGCATGGCAATTCTACTGAAACAGAAAAGTCCATTAAAAAATACTAATTTATGGCAAAATTGTTGTTAATTAAAAAGAAAACAGGTAATATTCATATATTAAGCCACAAATTATAATATAAATATGATTTCCATGAAAATTGACAACAAGTGATGTAAATCTTTTGATAACTAAATACGTATTAACTTTATAAATCTCTTTTACGTAAACAAACGTAATAGACATATCTTCAGATAGAATGGCTGAAATTTTTGTGTACACACCGATAAAAATTATAAAGATACAAAAAAATTAAGGCTTTGAAATCGCGTGTGAGTAAGCAAATGCGTGTATAATGGTAATTTGTGAGCGCTCTTTATTAGACATAATGATTGGTGTTAAATAGAAGAAATGCCATGTGAAAACATCTGCACTAAGAATGCCAACTGGCCATTGCTTTTTCAACACTTTCAAAGATTCTTAAATAATCAAACCGAAATCAGCTACATATAGCTTTGGAATGGGCAAGGGCATATATAAAAACAATAAATTTATACGAACAGCAGAACTCTTTGAACTGCTTGGGTGAGGAGTTAAGTATGTCCATAAATAATGAGGATCATACATAAAACGCAGTCAACTACACTGAAAACTACAGTAAAATCGATGTTGCCTTCTCCTTGTAGATCTGTTAAACATGAAAACTTCTATCTTGTGGATAGTACCAGTGCTGATCCTACTGCAGCTGGGAATTGAGGAAGTAGAATCCAAAAAATACCAGCGCTGCGAGCTAACAAGAGTTCTAGTGGAGAACTACAACTTCGACAAGACTTTCATTTCGAACTGTAAGTGATTTCCAAGATGAAACCGATTGAATTAAGTACGATTTTTGTCAGGGATCTGTCTGGTAGAACACGAAAGTTACCTGGACACCACAAAAGTAACGAAAAAGGGAAACGAAAGCAAGAACTATGGCCTCTTCCAAATCAACAACCGGGATTATTGCACCGAAGGACGAAAAGGAGGGCAGTGCAACATGAAATGTGAAGGTAAGATTACATTATAGCACAATAATAATTCATTATGTAAACAGATGGAAGCAATTGCACATTTTCAATCAATCAATTTTCATTTGGTTACCCTGTATGTATCTTAAATTTCATTATATTTCGGAAAATTGGTTCCTGCTTCCTATAAGAAGTTCACTAATCCTCCCTTTTTGGCAGACTTCTCCAATGATGACATAAGCGACGACATCGCCTGCGCCAGAATGATTCAGGAACGGGAGGGCTTCAAATACTGGAAGGGCTGGGATCGCTTCTGCCGCAATCCTCAGAATCTGCCCAATCTCCGCGTGGCTTGCAACCTGCGCAGCCTGTCTCCGCTGCGATCAGCCCGTGGATTCATCACGGGCTGAATAGGGGTTCCTATGTGCTACTTGAACATCTAACTTAAACGAACTGTGTACATGTACATAAATGCTTTGCATAATTGCTTGGTCGGAGTTGCATTTCTTGGCTGATGCCCACACATACAGCGCAAGTCGGAGACTGAGGGCTGCCAAGTGGGCGACCTGGCATTTTGTTTGGGCGTTGGGATCTAGATGGCACTTTCCAATGACATCTGCGACTGCAACTGGGTGGTAATTGATAGTCTAGAGCTGCAGTGCAACAGACTGCAACCCGATACCATGCCATACCATTCAAAGTCAATCATATCAAGTAGGGTTCTCGCCGCCGCCCGGCGAACAATATCATTTTGCATTTCCGCTCAACAAAAGGCGGCGTTTCCGTTTCTGGCCAACAATTGCCAACGCACCGCAGGGCATCACCATTGGATCATCAGGGAACCGTGCAAAGCCCAGGGCAAACAATAACAGGTGGAGGCTCAAAAATCAGAGCGTAACTTTGTACCACAATGGCCAAACATAACCAGAGGAAACATTGGCTCGCCGGTTCCATTAGAATGCGCTTTGCATATGTACGTGGTCAACATAAATCCGAGTTTTGCTGTTTCAATTACACACCGAGAACAATAATCAGGATATTTCTCGTAATGTGAAAGTAAATGGGAATTACTTGTCCTCAAATGGGTGACAAAGGGTGATATAATTGAATATATATTATCTTGGCTGTTCTTAAACCTAACTTGTTTGTTTGTCATAAATAGTACATAAGCATTTCTTTCTGTGCAGCGACAGCAAGTCAAGTGTTGTGTTGACCATTGCGTATACACCGGCAACATCCTCAACAATAAAAATATTTTAAAATGCAGCTCAGCACAACTCCACCTCTGTCACGCTAACTGGTCAACGATTCGAAACGTTTGAGTGCCTTTAATTTCCGCTGTCCCCCAGCCAGATTCTGTTGGTTTCCTACCCGTCCTCAGTGTGGCTAATTATGCATAAAATGCCACGCCCCACGCCGCCCACCTCCCTCCGATGATCGTGGAACCCGGAGATCCCATCGCTGACCTGTCGCCAGTGACTCAGCAGGAGCATTGGACACTGCCTCGAATCAAAACACATCCCATATCCGTCTGCCGAGATCCACGGGCCAACTTGCCGTCTGTTTAGCTTCAGACTTAGCACGGACTCGCTAATCAAGCCGCCTCAACCAGTTGAGCCCCTCCGGCGCCATCACCTCCATGTGTGCAGACTGGAGACGCCAGTTCGGGCTGATTGTTCATTTGGACCCAGAGCTGTCAGCTCCCACACATCCGCATCGCCTGCGGGCTGTAGGCGAATTCGAAATGCACTCTAAGAATCAATCGGGCTAGCTTGCAACTGATTTCATTTGTATTATATTTGCTTTGATTGGGCTAAGCAGAATAAACATCAGCACATTAGAGAAGAATCCAGTTTTTGGTTAGCAACATTTTGCCTTAATTTAGTGCCAAGCCATCCTAGCTGAGAAACCCGCTCGACTGCGAGCTCGAAATCAGCGCTGCTCGCTGTGTAGGCGCTCGGTTCATAGCGCCATAGTCATCAACATGGCCATTATCATCATCGGAGCCCAAAACAGAGAGCCGAGCACCAGGAACAACTGAAATGCGGCAAGAGCCAGACCCAAACTGACTGAAATTAAGGCACGTCAACGGAAATAAACCCTCTGGTATACACATGGGATGGTATAATGTGTATGCTGTATGGTATATGGCATGGTATATGGGTGTAAGCACGGCCAAATGGTTGGAAATGGATTGCGTTGGTAACGGCATTGCAACGTTTTCTGTGGAACGGAACGCCTGAGCTGCCTGATGATGCTGCATGAAGATCGAGAGATACAGCCATATGATAATGATGCCGCGAAATGGGTGTGAGTGCAGCTGACGCTGAAAACTTGCCGCAAACTTCGAAGCTGATTGGAAATCTCAGTCGTTTGCTGGCCGGCCGCGGATCGTAACAAAAAACGATTCTTATTTATTTTGCACATAATTTGAGGCTTAACTGGCACACCAGCAATGTTATTATTTTGTTTCTTGTATTTATTCCTCTCACCATTGCCAAACATTTTTCAGCTCCCAAAAAGGCCAAAACATGCGATAAGCCACTGAACAATTAAAAACGCGTTTTTCGTTAACTCGCCTTCTTTGGCCATAGATGGGAAAAAAAAACCGAAAAAAAAGATTAAAAGTAATTGTAGGTAGGTAGATAACGAATGGTAGTTGCTCTTAGAGCTTCGTAGGTAATTATACAGCTAAATGTTAATACCAAAAAATAATAATCAATAGCTTTTATTAAGTTTTGTTGTGGAAAATGCATCGTAGAGCAAGCTATATTTTTTCCTGTGTAGCAAAGTGTGGAGCGCAATTTGGCGACAGCTGCAATTGTGTTGCCTAATTATTTATTCGTAATATATTTTATTTTTTAAGACTCCTTAACCGCAAACGAGCGAGCAAAAAAACAGCAGCAACTGTTGCGGCCAGCAAATTGGGCAACATGTAGCTAATCATAATGACTGCAACATGTTGCTTAGGCCAAAGGCGAAATTAGTAATTTGCCTTTTTTTATTATTTTATTTTATTTCTTTCCTATTTTATTTCGGCTTGGTTTGGGGCATATTGAATATCAACCTGCTGGGGCATTGTTCGAGTGTTGAAAGCGCATCGAAATGAGGCACACACTGAATGAGTGTGTATGTGTGTGGCAAATGAAATTTATGCCTAGCATGAAAATAGTAAAAGTTGCTGCAAAAGCCAGCCAAAGGTCAAAATGTCACGCAAAAGTGGCAGCCACAGACGTGAGGTCTGAAAAATGAAAGAAATAAAATTGGAAAACCGAAACAGCTGCTTTCGAAACTGAAGTAGCCACACCAGCATCAACAATTGTGGTCTGCCTGGTATTTAGCATGCCAAAAAAGGTAAAAATGAGTAGACACAAAAGGACAGGAAACAGAAAACTCAAATTGTGTGGAGAAGGCCGCAAAAGGGATTTAATTGTGATGCCTATCCTGGTGTCCTGGTATCGTGGTCCCAAATCCCATTCCCCTTTCAAGGACCCAAAAACCAGTCCCTAAATGACTAAAGAGTCCAGCGTCTCTCTATTAAGACGGAAACGGATGCTGTTGGCATTCGAACGAGGATCTCAAATATTAAATTTCCATTCGTATTTTTGAGTCAATACTCGAATAATTGCACTCAAAGCTTTATCAGTCTTTTCATTTCAGTTTATTTGACATTCGTTTCATGCGGTGGCAAAAGCTGTCGGCTTTTAATCTGAGCTGATAATTATAAATTGAGGCTTGCATATACACCAATATATAATATTATTTGCTCAACCTGGGCTAAAATTCTGTGTACATGAAAGCTAACAAAACATCAAAGAAATCAAATTTATTATTATTTTACTAGAAAGCAAAATAATAGTTTAAAAATAGTTTAAGCACCAAGGCCTAAAAAAATGTTCTCTTCCAGCAACATCTGTCTTAATGTTAGCTCGCTGGTATTTTCAAATAGCTGGTAATATTGTCAAAGCGAACTGCAAATCACAGGTCTGACAAACTTGTTTCAGTTGTAAGCGACAAAAAAATGGAGGGGCGCTAACAAAAGCAACAAATCCGAGAAAAATTAGTGAGTATTATTTTTTAAGAGTGGGCCGACGACAAGTCAACGGAAACGTGTGGGTGGCTGGCTGTTTGGTTGGTTGGTTGGTTGGCTGTCGTCTCTGGTTTTGGCTGTTTTTGCCGTTTCAGCCTTTGTTTGTCGAGCTGCCTGTGCTGGGCAAATTACTTTTTAATTGAACACATACACGTGGGCAGCTGGTAGCTGGTCGGCAAAGTGCCGAGACTCGAACAATTAACCAAATCGCGGACAAAGTAACCAATAAGTGACAGCAGTGGCTGCAAGTTGATTCTTTTGTTCAGCCAGATGAGGCCAATATGTGAAATAAAACAAAATGCTAAACAATAAAATAATATGGGTAATCCGTCGGGGACGAACAGTTGGCTAATCCGATCCCATCCGATCCGATACGAAGCGAAGCGATTTCCCCTGGGGCAAGGTAAACAAACCATTCGGAATGGCTTAAGCCGGGTTTTGTCGGCTTGCATTTTTATTTTATTTACCAAATCTTGCACTTTATGGCCTCGCAGCCTCCGTCTGAACATGAACATGAATGAACTTGGAGCAGGCTGTGTTTAATTTAAATGAAATTGGATTTTTGTTGCCCCGTTCTGGCCCAAAATGTCTTTAAATCCGAGTATGCCTGTTTTTTCTTTTTTTTTTTTGTTTTGTATGCCATTTGCATATGAATATGGCCGACGGCAGCCGCTGCGAACAACTAAAAGCAATTTGAGCTCAAAATTTATGGACATTGTTTGGGCTCTGGTCCGTTCGCTCCTGCAGCTCATTTCACTTGCCGGTGCTTCATTTACTTAATGCTTATAAGAGCATTTTTATATTTTTAACGTTCGGCATGCCATATAATAAACTGAAACATCATATTATCAGAAAGGAGGGGAATAAATCATTAAGCTCAAATTCATATTCCTTCAAAGGAAAGCACCAAGAATTGAGCAGCCAATTAAAGTCAGTGATTTATTTATAACAGACAAGCATGCCGCTTTGTAATTGAGTGCAAGCGAAACTTAATTCAACAAAAAATATGAATAGGTGTAAATACCATGTCCATAGAGATACGTGCCACCCAAAACCTGGGGCTCTTTTGTAACTTTCCTCGGCATTCCCCCGAAAAACTTCGCATCCGAGACAACAACGTACCTCAGAAACCAAGTTCACAGCCCACGCAAACCTCAGAGAGCCAGTTGAGACACGAGAAGGCCGCCAACGCATGTGCATAATGCTAAATCGACTGTTAATTGCGACATTTGGAAAGCCGTGACAAGTCGAGCCAAAACACACAGTCTTCAGAGACAGCAAGCCAATAAAATGGAAATCGCTGCTGGCGCGATATCAAAACTCAATAAAAATGTTGGGGAAAATATTGAAGGAGAAGAAAGCCGACATGGCATGAAATTTAGCTCGAAATAAACTAAATTAAATATATTATGCGACATCAGTTGGCTGATAGATACCGCCGGAGATCTTGGTCTAGCCCACACCAACAGCTAGCTGCCCACACACGAATGCAAATGCCAGACAGACCAAAGTTGTATGGCAAGAAATTGCTCGGATGCTGCGGAGGAGTATGCTAAGTGAATGGCTGTATAAGATATGCATGCACTGCTAGAAAAAGCAGCGAAACCCTAAGATCATAACATACATTCTTAGTCAGCAGAGCATCATCATCTCTTTCCCTTGTCTGCTGGTGGAGATGTGGGGGCCCAAAAACATTAGCTCATTGGATCGTCAGATGACAGCGACACACTTTGAGCACAAAAAGTAAGTGGGCAGTAGGCAGCTGTCGTTGCGCTCCCATTGCCAAATTTGGCAACTGGTTGTGGAGCAACAGCAACAGCAGCAGCAGCAAGTAAGTAGCACAAATGTCTCTTATTTTATCTCTTTTCCTTGGCTTTATATATATATATATACATAGAGATATATACATTTTTTGTCCCGCATCAAGCGGTCGCCCACGGTTGGCGAAACAAAAGACTTAGGCAACGAACTTGCCATGTCAAGCCAAGAAGAACAGAAACCGAGTGTGTGGATTCCAAAGCCTAAGCCAGGCGGCTAATGAGCCGCATGTAAAGCAGTAAAAAAAATTATATAAACATTAATTATGAGCAATCTTTTTTTTGTCTTCCCTCCGCTTTCGTTATTATTGTGGGCGTTCGAAAATGAAATGTAAATAAAAAAGTCTTTTCCTTTGCCTATTTCATTGTCGCCGTAAGTTGAACGCGAACATCCAGAGCTGCCCGCTGTGAAAATGATGAGTTATATAAAATTAGAAGAGGTTGGAGAAGCAACAACAAAGCGCTAATTGCGCGTAAACTGAGCGGGGAAAACAGTGGAGCCTCCGTGTGTGGGTTTCCTCGATTGTCTCGCTCCTCTTGAGCTCTCGAACTGCATGGGCTTCTCAGGTGAATTGAGAAAACATTAGCCCGTGAAGTTATACGAAATTTGAGACAAACGCACACAACGGAAGTGCCATGCGTTGGGCGGCGGTAAATGACTTTGAGCTGATCGAAATCATTATATCTCTGAATTTTAATACGAGTTTATTATGAGCCCGCAGCTGAATCAAGTTCGCGATTAGCCTGCGTTCGAGTCCGCGGCTATTATTAGATTAAAAGGTGCTAATTTCTGTTAGAGAGAGTTTAAAAATTCGTCACAAAGTAATATGGTATGTATTCAGACCACTTTGATTTCTATCGCATAAATCGTTGTGGGCGTCTGTCTATATGGAGCGACATAAATGTTTATTTGCCATCAAATTAACGCAGAGACCAGCGACACGACTCACCTGAGCTTTGGCCGCATTATGGGCGAGGTCCTCTTTATCAGCGTGCGAAACTTAAACAGAGCGATGGTGCCGGCAGCGTTCATAGAACAATAAGCCGCATTAACCTGGCCGGGGCAACGTTTCCGTTTTCTACCTGATAACCGACAGACGGGTCTCGCCCTGTGCTCCAGAACGTTTGTACTCAACTCAAAATGCGATAAAGATCTTTACGGTGCACTGATGACAATGCGATCGGTGGGCCGTCAGTTGACACCGCTGGAGTTCGGGCTCAAGCTGGACTTGCCGCTCACACAAACACACTCGCGCACACACGAAATTAAAATTTCATTCATGAAAAACGACAGGGACTGCAGACAGGTATGTACGAATGTACGTATGTATATGTAGGTAACAATCAACAGAAAGAACCGGAAACGGATGCGTTATTTGTCTTGCCCCCGGCAGGATTCCCAGAGTTTTAGGCGACTGGGATAGGGACGATGATGATGAAGACGAACAGGTAGCGCTTGGCGGACAATCCAATTCCACCGACCGACGTCACCAACGACCACTTGAGTATTTGGTTAAATTAGCATTTTCACAGAGCCGTACTCTTCGAGTTGCATGCGGCAAGCACAAAAACGGTAGGAGCAATCAACAGCCACGAACTGGTCCCGACGACGTCTGAAACTCGACTGAGCGGCCTACGCTCAGGTAAGGCAGGTCGAGCCGCCAACAGAATGATTTCATATGCGTTTTCCTCTCCGCTTCTCGTTTTTTGGTTCGTCTGGGTGTTGTGTTTGCCTTCGCAGTCGGTTCATTCACAAATACTGGTCCGATGAATGGACTGCCGCCTCCGCCTCTGCATCTACATCCGAATTGTGTGGGCAGTCATCAGGAATCGAGCATCGGGCATGAGGCATCGTGCATCGGGCATTGTCGAATTGAACATGGCTCGGTTCTCTTTTTCGGCTCGCCAAAGATCGCATACCGTGTTGTTGCTGGCCTAACCCAAATAAGAGCCACTAAGCGAGCATTTCTTGGCTGGAAAATAAATCAACCACTGGGGAAAAAGTTCTCACACTCGACATGGCATCTGCTTGGCCATCGTTGGCCGTGGGCTATTTGATTTTCACATTGAGTGTGCCGCAAAACAATTTTCTTGTTTATCCATTTATTTCCCCATGCGGACTGGGAGTAGCGCAAATGCACAAATATGGACAGTGGAAAACGGGTTACAATGATTAGCACGCCGCACACACTTCGGCGTCTGGGGAATCTGAGTGGAAACGGGCCGCGTTAACTTAATTAATTTGTGCTATTGTCCAGGGCTTCGGTCTTGATGGGCACCAGTGAGGGCGGTATGTTCAGTGTCTGCATTGATTAGGGGAAAACCAATTAGCCACCTTGGTTCAGGTGCCATTACTGTAGTCTGGAGACTTACCTTGCCCGGACAGGCGGCTTCGTATTGGTGCTTGAGGCTCTCCATTTCGTAGACGCAGGTGGACAGGGCGGTGCGAAGCTCGCAGAGCAATACCATATCGGAACGAAGCTCGTTGAAGGAGGTACAAATGTCCTCCGTGGGCGGCGGAGCGGGATCTACAAAGAAAAAGCCAATTAGCGCCAGCCAGCGAGTCTTATAACGCTTTAACTCACCAACTTTAAACTCCTGAATGGCCTGTTCGAGGGCTTTCACCTTGCGTTGGCCGATATTTGCCGGCAGCTTCATCTTTTGCGAGCGCAGAGAAACGCCGGAACCACGCAGGTCGGCGAACTTGATGCCGCTGCTACCGATCTCTATGGCGTTCACCACCGAGTCCACCTTGGAGGGACGCGGCTGCTGGTGAACCTTCTTTTTGTGCAGCTTCTTCTCGTATTTTCGAGTGCTTGGCGTATTCGATGCGTGCTCATTCTGCTGATCCGCTTGTGAAATGAGCTTTTGCAGGTCCTGTGTCTTGCGCTCGCGTTCCTTTTTACGCGCCTCGATCTTCTTCATCTCGTTGATCAGCATTTGCTCCTCCTCTACCTGTTGTGTCGTACGTTTGAACAGCTTCTCCAGTTGCTCCTTGCGGCGCCGTTCGTGTTCGGCGTCATAAACAAATACTTTCTTCTCACTCGTCTGATTCTTGGCTTTGGCGAGCAGTGCTATCACCTCATAGTAGCGTTCTTTGAGCTCCTCTACCGTTTTGGCTCCATGTTGCTGACGATTCCAGCGATCTGCCATCACAATGAAGCGAAGATCGAACCTACAAATCAAATGGCTTACAATTTTTGCTACTAAATATGGGTTGAGGAGTCTACCGTCTAGCCAGGTCGAACAGGTGATCTGTCTGCACCTTGCTCCAGTTGTTGATATTGTTCCGCAAGTGGGCATTGTACTCCGTTATCGTGTACGAGGGCACCTCCAGCTGCTTGTTGAACTTGGCGAACGGATAGTCGGTGGAATTGTCCGTGACCCGTTTCCAGTGGTGAAAAACCGCTGAATCGTTGCGCGCTGGATTCGAGAACGGCGCCCACTCCCACTTGCGCACCTTCTTCATTCCCAGGCGGGCCTTCGTCTGCTTATAGCCTGCTCCGATCCCCAGAGCGGTATCCGTGGGCAGGAGAGGCGGAGCGTCTTTCTTGTCTGTGTAGAGCAGGGCAAACACCTCCCTATGCATTCCCTCCGGACGACGGGATGCAGTCTTGGTCCTGACATGATAGAAAACCTTGTTGATAAAGGAATAACACTCATTTGATTGCATTTGTTTACCGCTCAAAGTTGCGCTTCTTGGTGGCCAGAAAGGAATCCCTCGTCACCTCGGGCGTGTTGGCACGCTCCATGTCCAGAATATCGCGCACATCGGCCGACATGATGTATTACTCTTAATTAATAAGAAACTTCTACTCAAATGTCTTGCAAAAAATGTTTATTTTAACAGTTTGTCGCAAAACGGCCAAAATTTCTTAAAAGATGCTATTAGTATGGCCGTAAACAGGAAGCTGGAAAATACGTACATTTCAACATTAAAAATACCATAACTTTAACGCCGGCATTTAGTATATTCTAGGGCTACGTAATAGGCGCTGGCAACACAATAAATGTATAAAATGAAAATTGCCACTAATGTGAACAGTGTTTCCAAATGATTTATAAATTATAATAAACTTGTATTCTTTTTCGCTTGTCTTAAAACAAACCAATTTTAATTAACTAAAACCGCTAAAATGTTGCAGTATATTTGCTGTATTTGATTTGGTATACTTAAACTTCGTTACGGCCACACTGAGAACTCAACGTGTTCAAATCAAATAAAACTAAACAACGCGGATTCGGATTCTCCGAAACTATGTTGTTTTTTTGCCCGTCGTGCGGAAATATATTGATTATTGAGGAGGACACCAATTGCCACCGCTTCACGTGCAACACGTGCCCGTACATATCGAAGATCAGGCGCAAGATCTCCGCGAAAACCTTTCCTCGCCTCAAGGTAAGATCGGTATCCACTGGATGATGCAATTTGCTGTGTTTGTGATAATATCTGGGTCGTTTTGTGTTTGCAGGAGGTGGATCACGTTCTGGGCGGTAAGGCGGCGTGGGAAAACGTGGACTCCACGGACGCAGAGTGTCCAACGTGCAGCCATAAGCGGGCGTACTTTATGCAAATGCAGACGCGGTCGGCGGATGAGCCCATGACCACGTTCTACAAGTGCTGCAACCACGAGTGCAACCACACCTGGCGAGACTAATGAGCCGCCTTCAAAAGCACCTCCTTCGTCTTGTCCACGCATCCAGACATCACCACACATCCAGCAGGATGCAGCACCAAGCGAGCGAGCTGAGGACTCCAGTTTGCCCGGTGGGAGACGAAGCTGCTCTCCGGTTGGCCCGTCAGTGCCTGCTGAGTGGACAGGTGATTGCCCTGCCCACCGATACCGTGTATGGCCTGGCCTGCGATGCCAATAACGAGACAGCCATCCAGCGGCTCTACGAGATTAAAGGCCGGGATGAACACAAGCCCGTGGCCATCTGCGTTCACAACATCGAGGCGTTGCGACGCTTTGGTCAGGCTGTCCATCTCAGCGACGAGCTGCTAACTCGTTTGCTCCCGGGCCCCCTGACCATCGTGATCGAGCGAACGGCCCAGCTGAGCAACAGGTTCCTTAATCCCAGCACCTCCAAGATCGGCATACGCATTCCGGACTTCAACTTCATGCGCGACCTGTGCGCCGTGTGGCACGAACAACCCCTAGCCCTCACCAGCGCCAATCGCTCCAGTGCACCCAGCAGTCTACAGGTGTCCGAGTTCCGCTCACTTTGGCCCCAATTGGGCGCCGTCTTTGATGCCGGTCAGATCGGACTGACCGAGGAGCGGCGACTGGCCTCCACGGTCATTGATCTGGCCACTCCTGGCTACTTTGAAATTGTGCGGGCCGGAGTCGCTCTAAAGCCCACGCTCAGCCTAATGGAGGAGTTCGGCATCCGGGCGCGAAAGATACTTTAGTAGCTATCCAAATAAATTATAATTGTTTCGTTTAAAAAGTAATCCAGTTTCTTTGGCTTTTAACTTTAATTTTTACTTTGGAACATCCTACTTCGCTTTGCATGCGGAAACACAACAATTGATTATAAAATATATGGTTATTTCTGTATGTACACACTTGGAACTATCTTCGGCGCAGGCTCTCCGTCAGATGGTCAGTCTAGTTGTAGTAGTTGCTAGTGTTCTTAGAGGCCTGTATGGGCCTCCTGCGCCGTGGCAGCTCGTTCTCCAGCACTCGCCAGCGTTCTGGTGGCCACACAATGGCCACTGCCCGCGCGGACATCAGGCCGAGGGCGACGGGCCCAAAGGTATTGCTGTCCATGGAGTGACCCGTGTGGTCGCCCTCCACCCAACAATGACCCTCGGGAACGCGGACGATCTCGTGCTTGTAGCCCAGCGTGGAAACCACGTCGCCCTGCAGCCCAACCACGCGCTTGATAATCTTCTGGGCGGGATCCTTGGGTGAAATGAGCGATATTATGTCGCCGCGCTCCACCTGACTATTGTGGGTGCCCCAGCGGAGCAGGAACACATAGTCCTTTTCATCCGGCACTGGATTGAGAGCGGGCTGCATAGAGATGCCTGAGGAAAGTCGTGGGGATGGGTTATCGACACTAGATCGGATGAACTGCGGACGACTCACCATCCACCCTGGCCACATAGCCAACGCAGTCCAGGAAAGTGACGCCCAGGGGCAGGGCGTACAGCAAGGACTTGCCAAAGAAGCGAAATGCCATGGATGAACTGGTTGGAGCGTGGAGCTATCGAGATGAATACATAACCAGCCTTTTGCCGAGTTCCTTGTGCGCTCCGGATCTTTTGGCATTCGCAGTGAGCGCCGACACGAGTTTTGTTTATGCTGAATACAGGGTGCTTCAACGAACGATATACAAGGCTTCTTCCTCAGATTGCTTTTATTATAAAAGGGTATTTGCCAGCTATTGTACTTTAGTTACAGGTGTTTTCATTTGGGGTTTATTGAAATTTTGACAGAAACAGGAATGTGACTGGGCAATCGTTCCGTTCAGCAGCCCTCCAGCTCGCTTGGAATGGGAATCTCGTTTTGAATGGCGAACTGCAGCAGCGCCTTGTACTTGTTCTTCCAGTTGGAGACCTCACGGCGCACCTGCTCATTGTCCTCGTGCATCTGCTCCAGTTCCGTCCACTCGTAGGTCTTTTTTGTCTCCAGTTCGTCCTTCTGCTCGATTCTCTTGATGCGGCAGCTGGCGGCATATCCGCGATTCTTTAAAGTTCTCCGGCGCTGCTTCATCCGGACGATCTCCTCGCGGTTCAGACCACGCATCTTCAGGGTCCGGTTGAGATCCCTCACCGAAATGCTCACCAAATCGTCATCGGTTATATCCGGAATGGGACACGGCGAAAGTGGGGCCTGAAAATCGCACTCCTATGAGGGATTTCTATCTTCTTCGAGTATATTTTCAATGTACGTACCAGGGATGACTTTCTCTCGCGCTTTGCTTCCATTGTTGCTGGCTATATTTTATTTTCACGGCTACTTTTACAATTTGCTAGATTTTTCTACCTTTTTTTTTTGCGTTGTTATTGTGCGTCTTCTTCTTCTCTACCTGCTGGTGGCCATTCACAGGGAATGGAGTCTAGCAGAGTTACCAGATAGACAGAAAGCGTAATTTAAGCGGGTAATTTAAATATACTAAAGCTAAAGTATTCCCTCTGCTTTTAGGCTCTGCAGCATTAAGTATTTATTTATAGTATTTAATTACCTTTATAAATCAGATCTACGTTTGTGTTACAAATTTAAGTTCACAAGTAACAGAGTTATATTTTAATTATATAGCTTAAAACAAATTGTATTTCTAATAATATAATTCACTTCACTTCCGTGCATGCTCCTCTTCAAAAAGGTGGCAGCGCTGGCAAAGCTATCGAAGCTTTCTAACACTACGAACTTGGGCGAATTTTTTTCCCCTAACGACGCCAACTGTTAGCGGGAAATATTCCTTCATCCTGCCGATGCCAAGTCCTTATTCCTCGCCATGAACTCACAGGTGATGTACCACAATGTGCCCACGCCGCCGGGCAACGTATCTTTAGCGGCCGCCGCTCCCGACGGCGGTTTGCTGTACGCCGGCATTCGCTGCATCAACTACATATCCGCTCCTCCGGCAAACGGAGAGCAGCCCCAAGTGGTGACCATGTCGACGCGGATCAACATCCTGGCCCTGGACGTTAGTCCCATGTGGGGCGTGGCCAACGGCGGTCCGGCCAAGCCATTCGCCATGGTGGGCGACGATTTAAGTGTTCAGGTGTGGGACTGCGGATTGGGCGAAGCCGTCATCGGGCACAAGGCTCATCAGCACCAGCACGAGGCGCGGGATGTGCGTGGCGTGCACCACACTACTAATTCCGTGCTGATGAGCTACCTGGCCAACGGTAACATTCTATCCATGGACGCCAGCGACCTGGTCATCTATTGTGTGGCATCCAACACCTACTGCCGTCGTCCCACTTTCATCTCGCCCCGAAATCATCAGCTCACAATGGTGCGCTGTTCCCCCTACAACGACAATTTGTTTGCCGTGGGAACGGCAATGGGCAATGTGCTGGTCTGCGATCTGCGCAAGATGAACATCGTCTACAAGTTTCACGGCCACAAAGCGCCCATCTGTGGCTTGACCTGGCGGGAGGTGCCTGCTCCCCAGGACGAGCACATCAACGATCTGGCATCCAGAGCCGAAGAGTGGCGAAGCCGCAATGGGGACCAGAAGGAGAAACCCAAGTCAAAGCCACCACCACTGACCAAATCCAAGGCTGCCGAATCCGACGACCCCTTCGACATATACAACTTTGACCATTTAGAGTGTGAGTTTGGAGCACCTATACCTGACCGCCGAAAGTCCTCTGAAGATTCCGGCGGCGGATTTGTGGGCCTAGAGAAGCCAGCCGGTGCCGCTGTATTGGATTTCGTTGAAGCCTGCGAGAGTGTGAAAGCGGATCTCTTGGCCAGTCGCCAGGAGGACAAAACGCAGCACGTGGAGGTCACCCTGAAGGACTGCGAGCCCACAAAGCCCACGGGTCCATTAAGCGATGCTAGCACCATTAGCAACAAGAACGATGCGAGTGACTCAACCGAGGGCAGCCTCGAAGTCATCCAGTATAGCTCGTCCAGTGATGATGCCGTGATCGTCGATGGCGAGTCAGCAAAGCCCAAAAGAGAAGTGCTGCATCACATCTACCACCAGGCTGAGGTGCATGCATCAGGAACACCGCAGACCAAGTCTGAGCCCCAGAGTAATCTCCATGTGGTGCCGGCCATCAGCACGGAGACCATAAGCTCGACTTCCGTGAACAGCGCTCGCCTGGAAACGCTGCTCGTGTCCATTGATGGAGATGAGGTGATGATGATCTGGAATACCAATACGGGAGCGCATGCTGGCAAGAACTACAGCAAAAGCAAGGCGGCAGGTAAGTGGAAGGGAACAACCATTGAAAGTAATCATTTGACTGTGATCTTTTCAGGCAAGCTTAACAACGTCTACTGGCTGAACGACCAGGTCATTGTTTCCCTGAGCCGCCATCAGTTATTCTTTTGGTCAGTGGAGTTTGACCGCAAGATGCTTCGCTACAAGATCAGCAAGGACAAATCCCACAGCTGCCATTTGCAAGATATTGTATCCTTTGCCTGTGACTCTAGGAAAGAGATGATATGGCTGTGCAGAAACAATCGCCAGATTGGAATGATGGATCCTCAAACGGGCCGGTTGGCTGCCTTTTACGGGACAGTGGCATTTGGAGTGCGAGCGATGGCCGAGTGCCCAGATGATATGAACAAGTAAGCTAATGTGATTATAATCTCAGCTCAGATGTTATTGAACTGTATCTCGATTAGAATTGCTTTGGGTTGTTCGGATCGCCGCGTGGCCTTCTTTGATATATCGAAGCTTTCCACCAGCTGCCTGCCCATCGACAGCGTTTATGTGTCCAGCAACGTCTACTGCCTGGCTTGGAGTCCAAACTGCTTGGAACTGGCCTTTGGCACATTCGATGGAACGGTATGGCTTTGAGTATATCGGTTTTATTAGCTACTGAAACTAAATACCTAACTCAACAACAGGTTGGCATCCTTGATGTGGAGCGCATGAAAGTGAAGACCCACTTACGGACGCCGCACAAGAAAGAAGTCTACTCCCTGGTGTGGCAGGACCACTTTATATACTTTATCGTGAATCGTGTTTTAGGGTTTTTCGACTTGAGCAAATCCAAAACCGGTGAGTATATGTTTTGTACCCAATTACTTATGTTGCCGACAATTGTAGGTTTGATTCTGTGCGTTGCGCCTTCCGTAACTAATATTCGTCTGCGAGTCGTTGGTCTGCTGCTTACGTATATTGGCCAAGTGGATTGTCTCCCGGTGATAATCCCACGCATTCCATGTTACGTTTATCCAGTTGGCAGGCGATAAGTCGTTGGTGACGACCATTTCTGTTTGACACTCAAAGTCTGTCTGCTTTGGTGGCTCCATAATCACATCCTGCAGTTCCTGCTCTATCAGCGCATCGTCCAGTTTGAACAGCAGGGCTAGGTTAGCATTGTTGAAAACCACTTTTCTGAAGGCGGCTATGAAAGGCTCAAATCGTAGCTCCGCGAATCGAGCGTATCTTGGGTCCCGAAAACCAAAAGTAATGTCCACGTTGGAGCAGAGTTTTCTGGTCACCTGGGCCGGCATAAGCAGGCCGTTGGTAATGCACATGGCTAGAGAGCAAAACTCCTTTATATCTGCCTTGTTGAGCTTGCAAAAGTTGCCATCGGTCTGCAGTTCCTTCACGGCATCCATGCGCTCCTCAAATGTGCAGACCTTAGGCTTTTTTATTCGCTTATTAAGCGCCTGCAGCTCGGCAATTGTTGCCTTTGCCAAGGTCATCAAGTCGTCGACAACCAATGCCTCCACCTGCTCTCTAAGCTTGTTTAGTTCGACAATGTGGTTCAGGAAGTTGTTCAGATTGCCCCACACCTGAGAGAGGTACACAAAGTGCGGCTGAAAGCGTAACGAAATTAGAGCTATTCTTATAGAAATGAATACATCACTTACAAATATGAGTTCCGAATCAATGGCGGTGCGCATGGATAGGGTATCGTCAATCTTGCAGATCACGCATTGATAACGCTTTTGCTCCACTTCAATTAGGTACACTGTCTTCTGGTAATGTTCGTTCAAAGTCGTCAGACAGCGGTGCAGCATAAAGTAGGTCACCGAAAACTGGTTAAGCCGATCTAGGTGCTCGAGGGGCAGTCGGTAGGTCAAGGTCTCATCCTTATGATCTATATGTATGAATTCATCAAGGGCCGCCTGGCAAGTGGACTGCATCTTTACCGCCTTCCCCATACTGGCCGCAAAGGCGGCTTCCGTGTTTTTTTGGGCCATTTCCAGGTCATCAACCACTAAGAAGTATACAGAATTAGGAATTAAAGACTGCAATCTGTATTGGTTTCCCCTATATGCACGTACCACTTCTTACATTCTCCCGATCTCCATCTGGACCATCGTTGTTATAGATTACAATGCCGCCCACGGTGGCCGACAAGCGTTGAAGATACTCCAGCCGATGGTACTTCTTCTTCAGCACATAATTCTGCAGGTCGCTTCGACCGATGACGCTGTTGAGACCCTGGGCAGTAAGTTTAAGCAGAACATGGTTCTTGGGTGAGCCCAGGTTGTAGCAGACCACTATGAAGACCTGCATCTTTGCGAAGAGCTGGTCCAACTGCAATTTACTGCAAGTCTCTGGATACTGAAGTATATCCTTGATGAGCAGCTGCAGCTCCGTTTGGAACTTTTCCTCATACTGCT